TTTCTTTTCCTTTGTCCTTTGCTTTTGAATCTGGTGTTTCTTCATTTGTTATTTCAGCACTGTCTTCTGCTGTATCAACTATAGTTCTTCGTATGTGCTTCGTTGGCGTAAATGTTTCACTATCATTCAGGTCTGTATATTCGGATTCAGCATTTTGTGCAACAGATACTTTTCTCTCTTCTTTTTTGAATGTATCATCAGAAGTTTCAATAGTTTTGAGCGACCATTCCAACATATTGCTTGAACCAAGGGAATTAGATGGACCAAGCTTGAAGAAAGTGTTTTTTTTGCGGAGTTTCTCTTCAATTGCTTGGAAACCAAATACATCGCCCTGTATAATATAATTCAAGTCCTTGTATAAGTATCTTATTCATAATAAATGTTGTAAATAGATGTTAAAATTGACCTAACTATATTGTAAATCTGTGTAAAAATATTATTGCAAGGAATCATACACAATCTTTCATAGTTTTGATGTCTGCTGCGGTTTTACCAAACATTTTCTCAGTATCATTGTTGAACGATGTCAATGTCATTGATCCTGTCACATCGACCACTTCAATTTTGAAAGCGACCCTGTACAAAGCGGAAAGTACATAGTCAGTGCTAGGGTTTAAATTATGGAATAAGAAATAAATAATTTCATTACCGGATGTAGGGATGAAATATGTAACTATATATGATGCCTAATTAGATGGGAACTTATTTAAATTATATAGTTGCTTGAGACTATTACATAAGATACTTAACAAACCTTGGAGCCGAAACACAATTTTTGTTATCACAAAAAATACATGTAAACTGCCTTCCTTCCGGTATTTTGCATTTGTTCCCACACCTAGAACAACCTGTATAGACGAATACATTGTCCAAAGAAGCATTTGGGACGGTTGCCTGTATCCAATGTCTTTCTTCCATTAACAAATTTGCCGCCTGAGAATACAGTAGGAATAATATTTAAGTTGTATATTTTTTATTTATGTGGGCATTTAGCCAACGTATGTACCTTTTTTTCTTTCAATTCCTCAATCGTTTTCATGGATGGTTCTTGTGCTGAATCTCTTATTTCCAGAACTCTCGCTTGTCTATCCTGTAACAGTTGTTTCTGTGCAACTACCCTGAATATATACGTGGAAATTGATTTTAAACTATAATATCTAATTTTTATTCAGTAATATCTGTTGTTTGTGGTAGTTACCATTCTCGTAACATGTTGACCCTATCTCCTTTAGGATATGAATTATTCTTGTAGACATAGTAGTTGATAAGGCAAATGCTGAAAAAGAGAACAAATGTCATTTTTTTCATTTTATATGATTCAAACAAATAATTATTTTGATTTTTTGTTCTTCTGTTATAGATATTTTACCTCTGCGAGGATTATGTTTTAGCGCTGTAAACCCAACAACGATAAATTTTTCGGCCCAAACATTTAACGCATCACTTGCAGTTCCTGAGAGGTCATTCCATGCGGTGATAGTTAGTGTTTGGTTATGCCTATGACAGAGAAAGATCTTATTAGCCATGGTCTTCAACAAACTACATAAATTAATTTAAAAGTAATTTGTCGGATTGTTTTAATTACGTTTGATCTGTAATAACAATTTCTCGGACATAGCTTTCGGCACTATATTTGGAGCTGATCTGTCGTGCTGCTTCTTCTACATATTATATCTCACCCAACACATCTGTACAATTATCATCATTAAAAACACATAATACTAAAAGATTATCTGTAACAATAGGCGTATCATTTAATTAGATATACGTACAAACATAAAAAAATAAATTAAAATTCCAAAGTAATTATCTCACTTATTCATAAGAGTTGTGTTACTAATTAAATGCTAAATTTATGTTATTCATATTTATGTTTCGGAGTAATTTGCCTACTTAGTTGTAGGATTGTGTTAGTAATTAAGTACTTAATTATTGTCACTAACATTGATATTACTATAGAAACAGTGGATTAAGTATAGGAGAATACCATATCTTTCATCAGCAACTTGTAGTTTTGGGATTGAAGCTATTGACTGATATTGTGGTACCACATAACCAGTTTCAATGCAGACAGGTTGGACAATGGTTCGATGATTGAAATGTAGTTGATAAGGCAGCTGGTCGTTAGTAGTCCGATATTGATCATCCATTGGCTTTATAGTTGCATTGGATATTTCGTATTCCCCATTGTATGCAATAGCCTCATCATATGCTTTGATTTGATCTCCAAAGAGAGTAGCGCGCATCTTGTTATTCTGGAAAAAAAATAACTATGATATTTTTGTTTTCACTTTTTCATTTTATTTACATGCATAACCAAGGAAATTTTTAATTTTTAGTACTGACAGTAATATAGGTTACAGTATGAATCCTAATCCCTAATGTCTAAACGATTTGAAATTATCAGAGCATTGTGACGAATGTTTTATCAATTGGAAAAACTATTTACATCGGGAAGCAATAACAATCATAATTGTGTTTTTACTAATATATATATAAAAGCATAAATATCGTTATAAATTTAAATTGTAATGTTTATAATGTAAGACGTGACAGCATTAGTCAAATAAATCAATTATAACATTCTACCAACAGTAAAAACAACAATATATATAGTACCAGTAGTAGTAAAAAAAAATGTACAGAAAAAGCGAATCTCTAAATATATTATTACCCTGAATCAACCGCGGTTATTTCGGCGACCGTAAAACACAAGTCGCCGAAGCTCTGCTGAAACAGCCGAAAGCACCATACACCATATGTAAACACATGCACCGTATAACACAATGACAGCCGAAAGAAGGAGTCTTCGTATAACAGTAACAAATATACATTTGCATGGTGTCAATATTAAGATTTCTAGGAACAATATAATTGATCATTAAATTTTCAATATTTACGTATTAAAAATGATATAGATTATAATACAATTTTGATGAAATAAATTACTAAACGATTTTGTTACCACAAATCTGTTAAATAATTTAAAATAATTTTTTGCGTTTGTCAAAAAATAGTTATCCATTTTTCAAAGCAATAACAGATTGTTATGACATGTTTAACGATCCATGTAACATTTTTCTGTGATAATATATAAATTCGTTCGATTTAGAAGGAAATTTGTATTATTTGATTAGTAATTTTTATCTTTTCTTCTTTTATTTAAATACTATTCTGATAAATACTTTAACTAAGTAATTATATGTCTTCTCTGTTTAACGTTGTATGTTTTATGAATTACATATTTCTTCAATAAAGGCCTTTTTATAAAATTCAGACGTCATCATAGACAGAACATGCAAATAATAATATTTCTAAGTTGTACGTTGATAATTTATTTGTCAAAATTCGAATATACCTTCTCATCCTGTAGATATAATGTTTGAAAGATTGTTGCTCTGGTATTGGAGGACATTTTCTGTCTAGATTTTTCAACTACTTTCACCTTAACAGTGAAGTTGATTGAATTCGGATTTAGTTCATCAAGATGTACTCGTTCTGTTTTCATCCTGATCATTACAAAAACAGAAATTAATGTTAGATGTATAACATCTGTATATTATGTATGCAAAAATTTCTACATTCTTCTTGGATATTATAATATAACTATAAATGTTATAATGCGGTTATATTCAAATACATTAAACATATATACTTTACATGAAATATATAAACCTAATGTACGTAAAATTTGTATGAAACATACACAGATTAAACAAAGAAATAGAAACAATTATTTTATTTATTTTTCTTAGTTAATCTTACCTTATCAATGTTTTTTGTATGATCACGGTTAAGTTTGGCGTAGGAATGCAAAGGATTTTTTTAGTGTTTTTAGGGTATCTGAAATGAAGTAGGTTTCTGTAGAATGAAGAGTGAAGTTGATATTGAAGTATATTTCTGTATATATATGTACATAAAGGTAGTGGATAAGTGATATATATATGTAAATATATTTATTTTTAATAAATTTATCAATTTTTTTTATATTTATTTTTTAATATGTTGAATTATTAGATAAGAATATTATCATTTTTTTTATTTTTTTTTTATATTTTTTTTTTATATATTTTTTTAATATGTAATATTTTCTTTTTGATATTTATCCTTTATAGTATTGTTTCTTATTATGCGTAATTAAATATTAAAAACACGGATTTGTGTACAAGAATAGTTACCATAGTAAATTAGATATATGTATGTATAATAATAAGTTTAAATTTAATTGAAGTTGATAATCTATTAAATTAAAAGAAATAGAAAAGAGTATAACTAATAATGAATTAGATCTTGTAATATATTATAAAACAAAATAAAGTTGTTACGTTGGGGAATCATTAACGAAATATAGATGATATTAAGACTGATCCACGCAATCCTTTTTGCCGTTTACATGCATATCAACACTTGTCATTGTTGTATAAACTTGTTGAGTTGTCAAATCTCATTGATTTACCCAACATTTTTTTTTTTGCTCCTCAAACGTCATGTTTCTACTAATCATTTGTAAATTAATATAATTGCATGTGCAATTTAAAAGATGTTAGTAACGAATGCATCATTAACAATTCATTTCAAATATGTTAGTAACGAATGCATCATTAACAATTCATTTCATCTTTTATGTATTAAATTAGCCTATAAAATGATATATAAGGTATATTACTAATTAAATCATATTGTAGAAAAACTACAACCACCGAAATTTTAACGTATTTAAATCTTTCTAATATTAATATGTACGTTTAAATACGTGTCATACTATTAATATTAATAAATATATATTTTTATTCTCTTTGTTTTAGGATTTATTAAACGTCTGTATTTTGTATATTAATAGTTTGTTGAGTTGGTATTTAGTTAGTTATTATATATATCTGTAGCTGGCTTTTTTAATACACTATTCTATAATCACCTTTTATATACCCTTCATTTTCATTTGCACTTAACCTCCTCTATTCAACTGATTCCTACGACCCTAACAAAGAAACAAATGAAATATGGTGAGTACCGATAGTACTGCAACTTCTGGGGAAATTTTTAATCCCCCTTCATGGAAACCAATTACAGGTGACTCTAATAAGGAAAAAGTAATAAGTTTCCTATTGTATTTCACTGATATCACAAAGAAGATGAATAGTCATCTGGAATTTCTGCTTCAAAATACTTCAACGTGAAGTATAAATATGAGAAGGGAGAATCAAGCAGTAAGAGAAAATGTGATAATAATGTTATTATCAGTCATTCAAAAGTGGTTGTTATTGAATCGGATACCAGCGATAAAGTTTTCAACTTAGAACTTCAGTCTCAAGAGCACAAGCACAGAATGAAAACTGATGTTAACGATACTGATAAGAATAGCGACACAGATGATGATGTCATCGACGACGACAATACTGGTAAGTCTCATAATAATAACGATGAAGATGATGAAGATGATGATGATGACGACGACGATGATAATAGTAATTTTAGGTCTGATTGTAATTATGATAATTGCAATTCAAAGAAGTAAGCTTCAAGTGTCGGCTCCGATCTGTTTAAAAGAAAGAGGCGTGATTAAAATATGTAATGATGAATCTAAAGTCTGGAGACTTGTTTCGGCTTTTCGGAATTCATACTTTGTTGAAGTTACTGGAACGGTATCGTGAAACAAATGTTTCTAAAATTTTATGTTATTGGGATTCTGTTTTATATGTTCACTAATGTAAACCTTTTCAGTGTTATTATGTATATTCGAATATAAAATGGGTGTTTTGAAGTACTCACCGGAGTAATTTCGTGGTCGATTAATGAATCCGAGCTTCTCTAAAGTTTTAAAATATCTATGCTCACTTAGTTCTATTTATGTTATTTGAGATTTTATCTGATACAGTATATAATTTGAAGGAGACACATAATATTCATCAGTTATTGATGAAAACTGAAAGTAATAATCACCAATAAAAATATTATGTGATTAAAAATTTATAATAATCATAATTATCCATTTTTAACATTATATGCCATCTACTTTATTGAGTTCTCGTTGGCCAAAATTATTGGTGGCATATGCGACATACAACAATGGTAGGGTAATAATCCAAATTGAACAAATTGGTTCAACAATGTTGAATGCTACGACATATCAAGATGATGTTTTTCCAATCTAAGTATCTCCGTAAAGTTCACCGTGTAGAAACTTAGAGCCGAAACCATTCTTCGATAGGGTTTGAGGGTTTTGCATATGATCTAGTATTGCCGAAATCCGGGTTTGTAACATATGCCGGAAGTAACAATACATAGGCAAACGGCTCTACACCCAACCATAGTCATTCTAATGTTTAATATGCCGTCCATTTTTTCGAGTTATCACTGGTCAAAATTTATCATGGCATAAGCTACCTGATTTAACACTAAGCTTAATGATCTAAATCGAACAAATTCGTGTAACAATGTTCAAGGCTACGACATGTAGAAATGATGTTTCTTCAAAATAACCTTTTTCGCAAAGTTCATCATGTAAAAAACTTTAGCCTAAAACATTATATAACAGGGTTCGGGTGTCTTGCATATGAACAAGAATCGCCGAAATTTGAATTTATAAATTATGTCGGAGTTAACAATACAGAGGTAAAGAATTTTACATTTGACCATTTTTGTTTAAACGTTTAACGCTAAATTGATGAAAGTTATAATGCCAATATGGAGGGCCTTATAACATTTCCGGAACCATATGTTAGATTGGTAAATTTTTTTGTTTACTCTGTTCTAACTATGTTATTTATGTTTAAATTTAATACTATCTTCATTAGTTATTGATGAAAACTTAAAACAATTATCACTGATGAATGTTTTATGTAATTAAAGATGGTGCGTACCCTATTTTATGTAATACTATGTCATTATATGCCAGCTAATTTACAAATTATCATTGGTCGAAATCATTCATGGCATAACCAACATATAATAACACTGAACTCAATAATCCAAATTGAACAAATTGATTCAACAATATTGAACGGTACGACATGTTGAGATGTTCGTTTTTCTAATCTTAATTTCTTTACGAAGTTCACGATGTAGGAACTTGTAGCCAAAATCGCGATTGAATACGGTTCAAATGCCGTGCATATGAGCAAGATTCGCCGAAATTCGAATTTGTAAACTATGGCAAAGTTAACAACACAAAAGCAAATAGTTCTACATGCAACCGTAGTTATTGCTATGTTAACATAGCAGATAAATCACAACAAAAGAACAAAGAAACATAAAATAAAACAATAGCACGAAAACTAAATATAAAGTCAACATAGCAGGTTAATTTATTTAAACATAATCCCTAAACCTGGAAACGGTTTTAGAGATAATTGTAGCAACAAAAAAGATATAGTCTGGATAAGAAAAGAACAAAGAGAAACCTAAATCGGCAGCCGCCTACACGCGGATACACAGCTGCCGAATTTAGTACAAACTCAGGTGTAATTTAAACAGAGTAATTTGTACAATTGGCAAGCTGGAAAAAAGGCAAAAGAGCAGAAACAGCGTTGTACAATCAAACACTTGTAGAACCGCAAGATTCTGCAGACGACTGCCCGATTTCCTATGCACCAGCATCAACTATATTAGCATCAGGAACCTTTTTAGTGTCAGCAACAGAGGACGCAGCAGTCCTAACATCTTGAATCTGAGGCTTAATTTTCTCTACCTCATCGTCATCATCTTCCTCAAAATCATCCTTTTCAGATAGCCGAGCAAGTAAAGCAAGTTCATTAGCATGAGGACGCTGCATATTTGGATGATTAAGGTCCATAGACCATTCCTCTGCCAATTCCCAATTAATATTTGGTTCAAGATGAATCGCAAGGCGACGAGCAACTTTGTAACCATTCTCGTAACCCTCATTGTATTGTTCCTGTGTATAGATGCGAGTTTTCAGCAATTCTCTGGCATTTTCCAAATGATCTTTCTCAGTTTGAAGTTGTTTTTGAACCTCCATCAATCGTAAGTTATCAGAAGAGATTGTGTGCTTCAGGTTATTGATCTCTGTCTCAAATTCAGACCGTTTCAGATCATTTTGTTCTTTGATCAAAGTAATTTGTTTTTGAGCTTCTGATAAACTTATTTCTGTAGATGAAACTAACTCCTTCAGACGCTTAATTTCGGTCTCAAGTCCAGTCTGCCTCTTTCCGGCTTCTATCCTGAAAAGAGAATTCTGCTCATCAAGATCCTTGATCATCTGATCTCTAGAAGTTATTGCCTGATCCATTTTCTTCTGAATACGAACTTTAAACGATGGAATGTCCACAACTTCATCAGAGCAAGTCAAATCCTGACCTTGTTCAACATAAGGAGTGATTGAATGTTCCATTTCGCGTAAGAATGTGTGGAATTTTTCTATCATATCTTCCATTTGAAATTTGCTGTCTGAAGCAGCATCTTCAGCTCGCTTCTGCGCAGCCTTTGCTATCCGAATCTGATGCTCTGCTGTGTCAGCAGTTCTCTTCAACTCGTCATTTAAACCAGCAGTAATCACATGATTTTGAACAACCTGCACATTTAGAGTATAAAAAACAATTAAAACAAATAAGTAAAAAAAATTACATTTTATAAATAAAAAATAGTTGAAATGATAGAACAAAAAAAACAATTCAGACGAAACTTATATAGACAAATTACCTGCAACAACAATTTGAAGTTCTCTGTAATGGGGTCTGGTACTCTGAACAAAATTTCAGACGCTCTTGCAACAGCTTGTGTTAAACATATTTTAGCTTTCTCCACTTCGGAGAAGCCAGATAAATCCCCATAGGTCTCAACAGCGGCGTCCTGGTTTTCCTTCAATTTATCCCGCACAACATCAGGAAGTATCACATGTGGGGTAGACTCGTACCCCATCTCATTTGACCGGAAAGTTCTGATTGAATCTACACCAGAAACCGATGGAACATCATCCTGTCGAGGTTCATCAACATGTTCGTCGATTTCATTGAAATGTAAACGCCTGTCGTCTCCAACTATCACATCAATATCCTCTATATGTGTAATAAAGACATCAGCTTGTCTTTGACTTTCTTCAGCAAAAGGATTTGCCGCAAGTCCAGAAAGAAGAGCCGCTCCAGAAAGAACTTCCTGCTGATCGTTTTCAATTTGTTTTTTAGAAGTTAAAGGTTCAGGATCTCTCTCCTTAGACATTTCTTTTGGACCATCGTTTGCCTTTGTTTTTTTAGACAATGGAGTGACACATTCTAAAGGGAACTGAGCTGGATTAAAAACAGCCCTACACTTTCTTTTTCTACCCATATCTTGAATTTCTTGATCCGATAAAGAGATATCTGCCGAAATATTTTTCGGCTGAGCTGCTACTGCTGTTTTCCTCCTCCGCAAAAAATGATTAAGAGGCTGCAGAAATAAGTATCAACAGAATTCGAGTTATTGGAAATAAACTGCAAACATATAAATAATAATACTATTTAAATTATGCAAAATCAACTAATGAATAAGAGAAAAGAAACTAATACTTCATACTTAATTCAGCTCCCATAAGTTGAGCAGATAATAACAATATACATTTATCATGTTACATTTTGAAATGCTAAATTTAAAGAACATTTTCATTGAAATTCCATAAGCAAACTAAGGGAACCACAAAAGAAAAGCAACAGGAATTCTATAGTTGATTAAGTAGAAATATATTTAGCAGTTAACAAACAATATGTTGTGAAACATTATAAATAATGAAGTTCTATAGCAGTAATTCATGTCGAATGCATATAGTAGCCGAAATATACGTAAAACAAACAGTACTAAATGCAGTATGTATTCCAAACGAATTACTCCACGTACATATGGGAAACAGAGGAAACTGTAATTTTACACTGAAACAAGAAATTATATTAAAATTATATAAATCAACCAATTAATAGTAAAAAGACTAACCAAATTTTGTATTTATTGAACTTTTCAAAAACATAACATCCAATAACTAAACTATACTCGAAACAGTGTTCTCAATAATATCCTATTCAATTAACAGAATGACATGCAACATATGTTAAGAAACCTAAAATTGAAACATAGACTGCATACTATATAGAATATGTGCATTAACATTTCGTACTTCCGAAAACATTTAAGCAAAACAAAGTAAAAATCAAATCTATACTGACCAAATTATCCAGCAATTCGTCCTCATAACTGTCTTCGTTCTCAGTTACAGGATTAGACCCAGAAACACCAGCTTCTACAGCGGCAGCAGTAGCTAGAATTTCCTCTTCAGGACCTAAACGAAATAATGGATCACGTTTCAGGTACCACGGCTTCTGCTTAGAATATTGAGACGAACTGACTATCTCAAGGCAATTTGCTCGCAATGCAGGGGCTCTTTTGGAAGTAGGAGTAATCGCAGGGTCTTTTTTGATCACTTTTCTTTTGACGTTGATTCCAAGTCGTTCATAATTCAAACCGCAATTCGATTCATGCAACACTGAAATTAACAGAAAATGAAAACGATTCAATAAACCCGAAACAAATAACAATAATATCGACAGTGAAAAAAAAAAAAAAAACGAGCCTTCGGCCCCAACCGAGTAGCTTATCCTCTTGATACTTTCGGCTGAGGCCTACAGCAGCTAATATCTTCTCTTGGAAAATATAGTGATAACAAGGCAGCCAAGTGGCTGGAGTATGTTTCTCGCGTCCCCCTTTTCCGGAAGCCACCTTTCCGAAGAGCGTCAGCAACTGTTTATCTTCAGCAGAAAATTCATCAGGACCAACAGCTGACATTTTCGGATCAGGCATCCTTAGATATCTCGGCGCTCCAAAGTAGTTTAAATGTTCCTCTTCGGGCGGAGCCCTGATCCAGATCCATTGACCCCTCCATTCTTTGTCTGAAGTATCGTGAGGCCAAGTAGTCAAATAACCCCGTTTTGCTTCAATACGCCACCATCCAAGACCATTTGGTTCAGAAGATTGTTTATTCGGTACCAAAGTATGTAATTGTCGGAAAACGTTGACACTGGGATCAAACCCTAGAAAAAGGGATACCCATAAGAACGTCATAACTCTTCGAATACTGGCCGGAGTCAACTGGCATAACGCAATGTTATACCCATTCAACACTTTAATTACAAAGGGATGAAGAGGAAACCTCAGCCCTGATTGTAATTGCCTAGTATATACTCCAATATACCCAGGCGGCGGTCTGTGGATTCTATCCTCTATAACTGGCATTCGACACCAGTATCCATCCCGTTCATAAATACCGTAAAAGATTTCAATCTGCTCAGCGAAACGGTATTGAGCATTCTGTGTAACCCACCATCTGTACGGAGCAGCAGTTCTAAGGCCCGAATTTTCAGTTGGATTGTACCATTCTTCAACACCTTCTGGCAAACAGTGAGGCCCGTGAACAGCACCGCTGTCAGATGAAGTGGGTTCTTCCCACTCCCTGAATGTCACAGGGGAAAATGATCTAGCAGAAACTAATGGTACTGCCGGTATCGGAACATTAGCCGTAAGTTCTCTTTCCGCCATATCAGAACAATTAGTAGCGTGACTAAGAGGTGGCATCCGTCCAAGTGGTTGTCTACGCCGAGGACCCGACGACACAACCTGTTGCCTTTCAGCCTCTTCTCCTTCGCCAACAACAGGCGCTTTACCCAAATTCCGAGGTCTAACCATAATAATTTGAAAAACAAATATACGGCAATGGAAATTTAAAAAATGCAAATAAATTCAAACGAAATCGGAAATAATTACCTGTTCCTGAGTCGAAAATCGGCGGACTTGCACGCCGACACACCGGAATTTGGAGTACAAATAAGACGAATAAATATTTGGAATGAAAATTAAGTGTTTCAAAAGAAATTTGGTATTTCTAGGGTTCCGTTCGCAGAAAATTGATTAGTGAACGACGAAGATAGAATGTAACTGGAACTTTAAAATTTAAAGGCTTTTATATTTAAATCTACAGAAGTTTAATAGTTAACCGTATTGTCATATCTCCCATTATACTATTAATAAACTATATTATCTAAAATTTCAGTACCGACTAAACGTCACAACGTTTTAATTATACTCACTAATGGTAGTTACAATAACCATTTAAATTATCCAAATTTCAGTTAACTGTATTGTCACATCTCCCATTATACTATTAATAAACTATATTATTTAAAATTCGAGTACCGACAAAACATCACAACATTTTAATTATACTCACTAATGGTAGTTATAATAACCATTTAGATTATCCAAATTTCACCAATTTTGAAATGCAATCATTTATTACACAATGCCTGTAAATTACAGAAAGATTTTTTTGTTTAATAAACAATTTCTAAAAATAATTCATACAAATTAAAATATCCATCATATTACAAATATCTTTCCTTAGATCAATTCACGTTCAAGTTGTTAAATACTTAAAATAATAATAATAGATATTATATACACCATAGATACTACTAAACAAATACAAAATTGCTATTAGTATATCTACATTTCACTAATTTAAACTTGTAATCATCTATAATATTTGTTAGTCACACAAATAATATTTTGATCACCAACTAATAAAAAAAAAGGAAAAAAAAGAGTTAAATATATACAGGAAATAAAGATATTTTTACAAATTCATTTCCAAAAAGTGTACATAATTTCCGAAACATTAAATGTCGATCTGTGATAAATGTACATAATTTATGGATCACAGTATAAAATATTTTCAATATTAATTTAACCAAATCAATATGAACGATATTAACATAAAAAATGCTTTAAATGAAACATATCTTGTTAACCATTGTACCAAAAAAATACAACTGTATAGCAATGTTTGTAACTATATTTTTTTTTATAACATATAAAAGGTTGTTGTAATCATTATAATATTTTTTCAGTAAAAAAAAAAGATCATAATAATTATAACAATTTTACCATACAGCAACAAACATGTTTACTGTTAAACAACTTTTGAATACTTCAAAATATCAAAAGACACAACATTTCTAACCGAGTTGATGTGATACCCATCAGGCGGTTTCATTGTATAAACAACAACATTCTTAGCCTTTGTTGCTCGAGATAAAGCCACATATAATTGACCATGTGAAAAACACGGTCGAGGAAGATAAACTGAAACCTGATTCAGTGTTTGTCCTTGTGACTTATTAATCGTCATAGCAAAACACAATTTAATTGGGAACTGTTTCCTTTCAAAGATAAATGGATATCTACCATTTGTTGGAGGACGTAAAGTTGCCCGATGCAAAAAAACAGTATTCCCTTTATATTGCCCAGCAGATATTTCACAAACAATAACGTTCGGCTGGAAAAGCTTGCAAATCAATCTCGTCCCGTTACAGAGACCATCCGAAGGCATTATATTACGTAACAAAATAACAGGACAATCTTCTTTAAGAACAAGCTCATGGGGACTCATCCCCCCTGGACAAAGCTTATTAATAAACTCTGATGGATAGATATTGCAACTATCATTGAGCATCGTATCAAAACTCTTGTAAATCACTTTATTTCCTGGGAACTGGTCAATCAAAACTGAATTTACCATATCCACATCATCATTCATCGGAGTTAAAATTGCTCTATCTGCAAAGATATCTGACGTAATCGTTCCTTTCTCAACTTCTGGAAAAGTAGCTCGTACAATCTCCAAAATGGGGTCCTTTTCAACCTCCAAATGATGTATCATTCCATCAGGGAGTTGTACATATCCACACTCAGTCGTCTGTAATTCACTATTACCAAGAAACAACAAAAACGCACAAAATGTTGTATCTTCACGAGCTCGTTGATTTTCCGTTAACTTGAACCTTTTCAAAGATGGCCATATATATGAAGCAACAATACTGGATTCAACAGCCTGTCTTAAGGACTTCTGAGGTATAACTGGTAGAACCTGCCAAAAATCACCGCCGAAGATAATAAGCTTACCACCAAAAAGTGTTGTATTTTCACATATATTCTGCAGCAGCAAATCAAGTGCCTGTAAATTTGCCTTATTCGCCGTAGAAGCCTCATCCCAAATAATCAAGGTCGTCTCTTTTAATAACTGTGCTAAACTACCTTGTTTTGGAACATCACACGTAAAACAACTCTCATGATCAACAGGAATTTTAAACCTTGAATGAGTTGTTCTGCCAGAAGGTAGATTCGACGCGGCTATTCTAGATGACGCAGTGGGCAGCACAATTTTATTCATCATTCGAATTTCTACATATAAACAATTGTATAAAAAAGTCTTACCGTACCACCTGGTCCATCAATAAAAAAAGCACCTCCTTTCCCCTCAATAACGTGATTCATTATGACATCAAATACTCAGTCGTGCTCTTGAGTTAACATACTCTTCAGGAATAGGCACATTTAAAGCATCTGCTATATCTCTCGTCTTCCTAAACTCATCACTGACATCATAACTCAGATGATCCAACCCAAATGTCTTCAGTGATTTACCCATTGATTCAAGATGTTGCTCTAATAAACTAACAGTTAACTGTTTTACTTTTCCGGGACAATCTTGAAATTGATACCTGTAATCTTCCGAGAATGATGTGTAATATTTTTCCCATAAAGAAGATGGATCACTCGGCTGGCAAAATATCAATATTGTTGCAAACAGTCGTCTCAAAGCACATGGTAACTGTATCTCTGCAGCTTCAGTTAAGCAAATAGATGCAGCATCATCATCTTCCAAAAGACCAAGCCGTTTAGCAGTCTCTTGAAACGTAGCACAAACATAATTATCAACTGTACGTAATTCTGTGAACGAAGTTGAGTTTCGTACATTAAGCAGTAATAGCCGAAGATAATAACGTTCACCTTCGGCAGGCAAAACAAACGATATCCTACCAACAACAATAAGTGTGTTTTTTCGGCCCTTCCATTCTTTCACTCTCGAATCCCACGTGTAGTGTTCTGGGAAATCGCTGTATAAAAGATTAACACCACCGTCGATTACCGCATTCATTGTAAAGAATTATGTCAAAGGTGTACGTGCGCACCTAGGATCTCTAACAACTCGTGTAAGATTTTCATACGGTCTCACAGTAATAGATTGCATGTTTGGAAGATGCACTAGTAATGGCATAACAGGAGGAAAAATTTCATACAAATCAAAACCAAATATTCGCCATATTCCTTCACACGGAGAAACCCATCTACAATTTCAAATCACACAAGTGAACTGTAATATTTGTAACTAATATAACTATAATGTAAAGAAATTTAAATCAAATACGAAAATAAGACACTGAATACTAACCTGCCAGATTGAAATTGTTCAATTTCATCAATTTTTTTTTATCATTTGTAGCAGATATCTTGAATGATATTCGGTCATGCCCTTTATAAACGTATTTATATAAATATTTCACAGCTTTGATAGTTGAACAAACTTCAACATTTATATGACAATCAAATAGAAGCAATAAATATGGATTATAAGGTACTACCCACCGATTATCTAACTTAGCCCTTCGAACCTTTACTTTGTCACCCGTTTGTCTTCTCCTATATACAGGATACCCATCTTTGTTATTTGCCGTTTCTGAATTGTAATCTTTTGGATATCCACTTTTGCAGACCATTTTTTTCCCATCCATTTTCATACAAGGACACTTAGGATTTAGCCTCCCGCAAGGCCCATGCATCATATGAGTCAAAACAACTTTACGAAGACGAGGATTATCGGACGATGGAATTTCAGCACAAACAAACTTATCATACTTCGATGGCCCTCTTATCTTGAAATCATGTTTCAGTATTATTAACAAATGCGCATGTGGTAATCCCCTTTTCTGAAATTCAACGACATAAATCATAGCTACCACTTCCCCAAATATTCTTTCTTTTTTAATTTGTTTTTTCAACGTCAACAATTTTGCACGAAAGATACGGGTCACAATGTCTGGCCTATCCTGAGCCTTTTCTCCAGGTTGTAATTCACACTTTATCTCGGGCCAATTTGCGTTACATGTCACAGTTTTAAACAAATCCAGTTTCCCATATCTCTGAACTAATGCCATTGCATTTAAATACCGACGTTTTAGATCTCTTGGACACCCAATGAACGACGGAGGTAAAACAACAAGATGTCCAATCTTCGAAGCATCTGTCTCCCCATCTGTCAGACTATCAAGAATACCCTGGTAAAGATCAGCCCTAATGATGTCTTGATTGTTCCGCAAATAATCAAGCCTTGAATTCTCAATCTTCACATACATGTCCACAACAAATTGTTGAAAACTTCTTCCACTTCTAAGGAGCATATTTGTAAGCCTAATTTGAAATTTGTAAGCATAATATTCTCTCGGAGAAATATACCTATCAGCTCTTGTCCTATGTTTAACGGTCCCTATAGTATGGCACAAATAAATAGAATAACACAATAAACAACCAAGCACAATAAATAATGTAAAATGAATATAGACTATTATGCATAAACAGCAAACACTTACGTGATTCTTCTTCATCTAAAAAATTTTGCACAGTATGAACTGCACAGGAATTAATAGGATCTGGAACCAGCTTGATACGATTTTTCCCACCAACATTTCGCTTCTGAAGATTCTGAGTCCATCCACATTCACCAAAAGGAAACAACAACGGGTATTGTAATGGATCATAACACCCATAATAATGACAAATTCGAAGAGTTTGGGCAGACTTTTCGTGCACAATAATATGTGGAGTGGTTATTTGACTTGAAGGCCCAGCATCTGGCCATACTACGGCAACTTCATCAGAAACAGGCACGTTATAAACACGTTGGTCCAAAACAGTATTCTGAGATAATACTACTTGCGTGTTTTCATCTATCTCTATCTCCCTCAACGATCTGAAAAATCTTGCATATGGATTCAGTTCAGTAATCTTCATTAACAGACGAATAATATCCTCCCGTACTTCAGGAAAACAATTTACTCTATTCTGAACTTCGTGCTGGCCATCATAAAAATAGAGCTGCAAAAATTTAGGACTACCATCATCAGGCAGAAGATCCGGAACAGAATGATATACCTGGCCATGCATTTTAAACACATATATCCCCTTATACGTTGTCGACTCCGTTTTGCCGCGAATAGAACTATAAGCAAACAGATTGTTATACATTCGACTGTATTGTTTGAAATGTTTAGCATCTTCCTCCTCTGATAAATACAACCGGCATAACTCATCAGGAAATTGATTAGCTGCAATCACAACCTGCCCACTACAACAACAGAAACCCGGAGTTTCATACATGAATTTCTTCGCATTACAATACAAACAAGATGGAACACTCTCGAGCACCAGAGGGCTAACTGGAAGATTTTCGCCCATCGTTGCAAGCGGCCTCACTGCCGAAACATGCGACAAACATTTTTAGGGGAAAAAAAAATAAAAAACAAAATAAATTATGGTACATTACAAATAACACATATAATAGTTTTTTTTACAACGTAAAACTAACCAATACAGTACCTTCCGAGCCGATGTCTTTAGAAGATGAAGATTGTGCAAAAAACAGAGATCTTTTACTTTTACGTTGTGCTCATATTTCTGAAAGACTCCCCAAATTACCTAGCAATCACAATAAACGTTTTCCAGAATAATAATAAATAAACAAAGGTACCGACGATAACAACAAAAGATAGTTTATGATTACATATTGTGACACGACTTCTTGGGAAACCATTAAATAAAATATTCAAAATAGCCGAAACCAAGAATGAAACCATTGTACCCTTCACAACTTAATATCAGGGTATCAACAATTTTAATTAAAAACATAATTATTTCCAGTGGAAATCACATCTTACATAATATAAAATAATCAAACATTTTAAAATACTATATAGTTTTACAACATTTTTATTTCAGTTAATGGACGATGAACTTACTAAAATCACTATAGGTATGAAAATGAACTATTAAATCTGCACGAAGTGAGCGTTAATATTATAGAATATTACCTACAGTACCACGATTTTTTCCGTTTTTTGGATGCATGTCTACAAAAAAAAGCAATAATATATATGAATTTCAAAAAATATACAACATAAAATGATAAAACACCAAAAACTTACGGCGCCTCACAGACTTCTACTGGTATAGTATGCCATGTCGCGCCAGAATATAACGGTGCCGAAAAAGATTGTGCTCGTAATAGAAAAATAAAAAAAATAGAATGCGATATAAATTCCATACATCATATGAACACGTTCATAACACAAAGTTATCCGAAATAGTGATAGACACGATATTAAACAATAATACCTGCAGTACACGATTTCCAACCACTTCTAGTTTTTTTTCTAAAAAAAAAAAATACCAATAAATATAAATAAATACTACAATCATAATCTAGAACAGAGTATATCCAGAATTCCGGTGACAAACATGAAGACTTACACCTCTTCACAGTCTTCAATAGGCACTTCAAAACAACTAACTGAAGGGGGATTTATATTTATCGGATTAACTTCCATAATAGACACAACGTTTTTCTCAGCAGGCATAACCAATACATCTATACCCGGTTGACCTTTTGTTGCGACATCGTCTACCGGAAGTCGAGGACCATTACATATAACTTCTCCCCCATCCTTACGACCATCGAAGGAAACTGAAGTTCGCCCACCTCTGAATCCAACCGGTCGACTGGGAGGCCGAAAATTTATCGCCAACGGCGTCACCGTTTCTGTCGTAAGTGCACGTAAATCGACGGCAGGCCTGACCTTACTTTTCTTCGACCCTTTCCGTTCCATAAATTGCCCTGGATTAACAACAGCTCTAGATTGTATTCTTCTTTTTTTCGACCCTTTCTGTTCCACAGTTTGCACAGGCAATGTTATGGCCGAAGGTGCTTCCAGAATATTATCAATCATATTCTCGGCACCTGCAATAAGTTTCCACCGTTCTTCAATTTGCCTTGTACCGGTAACACTGCCTCCCGAAATTTGTACGACATTACGTTTAATTTCATCTCCTTGGCCATGACCATTTAACGGATCCGAAATGCCCCCGCCGCCGAAACCACTCGTTCTCACAACTTGTTTGTTTTTCGGCGGAATGGATAACTCCTCGGACGAAAGCGGGCGTAAGTCAATGACAGGTCTACTCCTTTTTTTAGATCCCATGCGTCCCATATTTCCCAGAGGAGGCAAATTTGTCGATTGAGTTTGAATAAACTCTTCATTTAGATTTTCGACATTTGTAACAATTCGAACATTATCCTCACCAGATGTGCTAGAAACTCCAACATTCGGTTGGTCATTACTATCCGTACTCAGTCCCAAGTCAACATTTATCCCCGTCACTGAAACGGAAGGTGTTACATCTCGCCTTTGCTCTGTCAACGATCGAACTGACTGACTTTCAGGAAATTGCCCTGGATTAACAACAGCTCTAGATTGTATTTTTCTCACCATCTGTACAACATTCCACGAAAACAAATTTTAATCAGAATATAAATTTACGCATAATTCAGGAAATTCGTGTTTCAGCATAATCCCACAACCAGATAAAACATTCCACGAAAACAAATTTCAATCAGAATATAAATTGACGCATAATTTCCTCAATTCGTGTTTCAGCATAATCCCACAACCAGGTAAAGACTAATAAAGCACGTATAAACACGATATCAAAATAAAACACCGACAATCTGTAGACGTGCAAAACACATAACTAAACAGGCAGACCCATAATTAACTAAAATATGTAATTGCATGGTAGAACAAACCAAACATCTACAATTTCCCTGACTAATCAAAGATCTACAAAGTATCCTTAAAAAAGGAAAAAATTAATGAAATTGCAAATCACATTTGATATACAGAAAAAGTCACCACCAAAAAAAAAAAAGACAACTCCAGCCACAGCACAAAAGAAAAACGAAAACACGGAACTGGAAAATATAGACAAACAGGAAACAGAGAGAACATAAAGAAAAGGAAATAAACCCCAACATCAAACAAACAAAAACAACGCAAACAATACAAAAAAACAAACAAATTCAGTCCAGCTGAATGCAAAGGAAAAAATACAAATCACCAAAACCTCCAATCCCACAAGACTCAAACAAACAGAAAAAAATATAAAACAATGAAATCAAAATCCGTAAACAAAAATAAATCACAAAACAAACCTGTATATAACTCAAATGAAAAGAAAAAATATTAAAAACGACAAAACCAATTCAGAATTTGAAACAAAAACACAACACAAATTATAAATCCACAGAACCAGAAAAAAACCAAAAAAAAAATAAAGACAACTCGAGCCGTAGCACAAAAGAAAAACGAAAACACGGAACTGGAAAATATAGACAAACAGGAAACAGAGAGAATATAAAAACAAAGAAATAAACCTCAACATCAAAGAAACAAAAACAAAGCAAACGCAAAGACCGTAAACAATACAAAGACAAACCCCAACATCAAACAAACAAAAACAACGCAAACGTAAAGACCGTAAACAATACAAAGAAAAAACAAACAATTTGAAATCAAAATATGTAAACAAAAATAAATCACAAAACAAACCTGTATATAACTCAAACGAAAAGAAGGAATAGGAAAAAAAAAGGAATGAAGAAGAGAGAGACAGTAAATGGAAAATAACCAAGAGAAAACACCAAAAGAACCGCCTATATATAGGAAGAAAAATGCTTCGGCGGAAGGCCGAAAGGGGAAAGCAAATGTTCGGAATTGGTGCTGTTCTCAAATGAAAAGAAGGAATAGAAAAAAAAAATGAAGAAGAGAGACACGGTAAATGGAAAAGAAATAACCAAGAGAAAACACAAAAAAAAACCGCCTATATATACGAAGGTAAATGATTCGGCGGAAGTCCGAAAGGAAAAGCAAATGTTCGGAATTGGTGCGGTTCACATTGCTGCTTCCTATATATACTATATAAATATATAGGAAGGAAACTGCGTCGGCGAAATGCCGAAAGGGAAAAGCAAATGTTCGGAATTGGTGCCGTTCACATTGCTAGTGTCCAAAGTTGCCACTGTTCAAAATTGAAAATTGGAATGTGCTACTGTTCATAATAGGTCTAACGGTGAATCTCTTACATTTTAAGAGTTGTAGATTAATGAATTTTTTTTTTTAAAAAAGTTGCTCCACCTACAAAATTGACATACAACTTGCTATTATGAGCAAACACTTTTTTTTTTTTAAGAAGGGTTTTTATGTATTGTTTTTTGTTTGAAAATTTTCACTTTTGCTACCACTCAAACACCCCTAATTCACTTTTGCTAGCAAAAGTTACAACATATAATTTTTGCTACCACTTAACAAAAATCGTTTGGGTTCCGTTAAGTGGGGCCCATAATTTTATCAAATAATGATTTAATTTATTTAAGAAAAAAGAAAAAACTTAAAAAAAAAAAAACAGCTACACTGCCTCGCTGTCAGCCACCCCTCCCAGTTCCGGCTGCCGGCGGCCAACTGATCCCCCGGCGCCGACAAACTCACCCCCTCCTTTTCCCCCACCCATGGTGCCGATCTCCCTCCCCTTTCCCACTCTTGGCTGCCCCCGACACCACCCCTTCTCCCTTTCTTTCTTTGTAATTACTTGCTTTTTGCGTGAGGTGGCTGGGGATAACTGATTGAGCGGGCTGCTATGAAAGGTGGTATTGGATGGTGGTGGCTTGAGGTGTTGTGAACGACGGTGGTTGGGGCAGCTATTACGTTGTTGGTTGTGTGCTATGAAAGGTGGTGTTGCCGTGGTTTGAGTGGTGGTGTTGGCGTGGTTTGGCTGGTCGCTGCTCTTGCACTGCTTTGTTGGTTGGCTGGTGGCCTGGTGGTTTGAGGTACGACTAGAGTTTCTATGAAAGGTGGTGTTGGCGTGGTTTGAGGGGGGTGGGGTCGCCGACGCTGGAGGATCGTTTGGCCGCCGGCAGCCGGCATGGGGAGGGGGGGTGACTGACAGTGAGGCAGCGGCAGGGAAGAGTGGTTAGAAGGTGGCTGGGCCCCACTACCTAAAATAGTAACCAATTCTATTAAGTGGTAGCAAAACATATGTTTTTTGCTTTTGGGTGGTAGAAAAATAAAATAAAATTTTAGATGGGTAGCAAAAGTGAAATAGGGATATTTGGGTTGTAGCAACAGTGAAAAATTCCTATTAATTTGTTTTACTTTGGCAAGACGTATATTAGCCATCAGGGAGACGATAACAAGTGAGTATTACAAAATCGAAATATATTGCAACAGATTCCTCAAAATGGGAACCTTAATCAGAACTTGTTGAACAGATTTCATGAGGTATGTAATTGCTCGTGTAGTTGTAGTTAACGAAAACCACCAGCCTATTTTCTTACTAATTGATTGAAA